TGCTGATAATAGCAGATTTGATGCCCAAAGTTTCTTGTTATTGGCATATCATGTTGAACTTAGGGTGCGTTTGATTGCGAGTGCAGAATTTGTATGGAAAGGAAATGAATTCTAGATAATTCAATTTTATGGAAATTTTTAATTAAACGTATTTGATTGACTTAATTTTCAACTTATAAATTATTATAATTGTCCATTTTTTATTGATGGGTAAATAAAAGAGATATGGGATAGATGAGAGAGAGAGAGAGAGAGAATTATCTAGAAAATAAAAGTCACCTCTCCATAAAGAAAATATTTTCCTTATTTTTGAAGAAAATATGATCACGTAACCAAAAGTTGGAAAACATTTTCCATTAAAAAATTGTCAATCAAACACTAAAATATTAATTTGGTACTAGTTTTACTCCATTCAAACACTGCCTTATTTTAAGAGGAAACCAGCTAATTTTACAAAATTGTTGAAGTGTTGGAGGGAACAATGCCATCAACTCTTTTCTCATTCATTTTTTTTTTTTTTTTTGCTGGGAAATTATACCCCTTTTTGACAGGCAGAAAACCATTTGGACTGCATGTAAGTGCTTGTCCTCCATGGAGGTACATGGAGACCTCTTTCAAGAAATGAATTCGTGGCTTCTGCACAAAGAAGGCTAATAATTTTCTTCAGCTTTTGTTCCGTCCCGACGAAGATTGATGGCATCAAATTGGAGAGATCTTTGAAAGTTGATGTGGGTCTTGCCAATTCAAACTGTGACTTGAAATCTGTATCTACTATTACCCTCAATGCACACCCATTTTTATCTTCTGATATAATTTCTATGTATTCATAATCACCTGTTTAAGATATTCCAAAACACAACACATTTTTGTTCAATGAAACATACAACAAGAGAAACAATAGAATATGCCAAAACAGCATAGTTTTTTCAATACAATCGACAATCAACATTCTTAGCATTGATTGAACCATCTCATCTGCTATTATGGAGGGAACAAGTGCACTAGTTTAAATTTTTATCACAACATGTCCTTCACGTGCAGGTTTTTATCAAAAGCCTAACACGTACAATATTTATAAATGGGCACTTGAATCCAATAGCTATATATGTTAGCTCTGATATAATGTTGAATCACCTCTAATAGCTCAACATGATATCACTAGCTAAATATTAATAAGTTTTAAGTCTTGCCGCCGCCAATTTATAAAAATGAATTCATAAGTAGTGAAGACTACAACTAAATAAATAGACATCCTCTTTAACTAGTGGCAGATCCAAGAATTTGAGTGAGCTAAAGTGGATTCAGGCAAGTGTGCAGCCATCCAATATATGGGAAAAAAATTTCGACGAAGCCATCACGGGCGTCGTCATGACTCGTTGCGTGCTGGCTCTACCCCTGTCTCTAACAAAAACTTTTAAACTAGAAAGTCTGGTGGTTCCTACTAGGGATGTAAACAAGCCGGGCCGAGCCGGCTTGTGAGCCTAAAGTTTTGGCTCGGGCTCGGCCCGGTTAAAATGGCCAAGCTTTTTTGCGGGCTTGAGCCGTTGCTCGGCCCAAAAAAAAAAAGGCTCTCTCTCTCTCTCTTCCCCTAAGCTGCTGCCTTAAAAAGGCAACAGGTCGATGCCTTAAAAGGCAACCTCAAAATTAAATTTTTTTTCTTTTTTAAAAAAAAAAGCTCGCGAGCTCACGGGCCGGCTCGGGCTTTTCCCGAGCCGAGTCACGGGCGGTCCGAACCGACGAGCTCGATTGCCATCCCTAGTTCCTACAATTTTAGGGTCGACTTATTCGATTAAACGTACCACAACTTATAACAAATGTAGAATAGGTTTCGAGTGATGAAGTAATTACCACCAAGACAATTCAAAGTAGTAGGCCAAGTGGTGTGACATAGAGCTGCTTTATGGCCATCAATTCTCAACTTCTTGACCAGCCACTTCTTCAGTGCAGTAGTGCTCCTTTCACCATCAATTTTCTTTCTCATATGCTTCATCACACTCTCAAGAACATCAGTTTCTGCACTATTCCCACTTTCAAGTATCTCCTATAAAAAAAATTCAAGATTTTAGAATATAATCTCAGGATCAAAATTATATTAGGTGATATTCAAATATACCTGCAAGACATAATATTTAGTATGATGACCACTGAGAGTAAAGCTTTGTGGGGCAGAAGATAAGAGGGGTGGTATTGATTCTGATTCATGAAAATCATTAACCATCTGATACAGATTCTCCTCTTCAAAACTACCCATTTTTTTCCTTTATTTCTGTGGAGCTTCTTTTTCTTTCTATTTTGGAAGTAGAATTTGATGCGGAATACAGTTTGCATTCTGAACATAATCTTGCTGTTCATATATATGAGCATATTCTGGGGGTGGAGTTACGTGTATCTAGTGACAGTTGACGTCACGATAAGACAGCAACACAGATTGTGGGCACAAGGTCTTCCAAGATAAGAAAATATCCAGCAGTTTTCAAATACCATGAAAATGATAGTTAAGGGATCATATTTTCTGTTTTCAAGAAGCTTCCATTTTTTTTCCCTGTTTCTCGTATGCTTCTTGGGAGATCTTGGAAAGAATATCCTTTGCTCCTGTTTGGTTCAATTTAAAAAGTAGATTAAAATTTAAATTAAAATCAAAAATTAATTTTATATACATTTTATGTGATTCACAATCTTTTTACCATACATTCCATCAATTTTTATCAAAATCTATTAAAAACTTAATTTTTATTTAAATCAAATAGAAACTCTATATTACCGAATGGTTCGACGATAGATTAGAACGAGGGTGTAGTCAATATAGGCTGAATTGTTTTAAGAGCTAAACGTCGCGTCTTAAATATGGCATGGTTTGGTAGGCTCTGCAGTGGTCATATTGTGGTCTAGCCTAATGTCAAGGTTCCAAGGCTCATGACCAGTACAGGTTGGCTCCTTTAGGAGACTAGGACAAAATTCTCATTTTGCCTTTTTTATTTTTATTTATTAATTTTAGAATAATTTTTGAATAAAATCATTTTAAGAAATTACTGTAAAATTTGAATAACTACGTCTATATAATTTTTTTTTTTATGACGGGGAAACCCGCAACTGCTATTCTTCGGGTGCACACTGAGTAAACCCTCGGATTGACGCAATAACCTGCAAATAATGCCAATTAGGTAAACTACACTAGGCAAATCCTGTGCGACAGGATCGATCGAGAAAGTGTTGGTAAAAGGAATCGAACTCATGACCAAAGACCTCTGCACTCAGCTACTCCACCAATTCGACCACCTTATGAAAGGCAACTATATCTATATACTTATTAGGCCACTAGGTTGGCCTAGCACATGAAGGACATGGGTCATGCTTAAGCCATATCCGACGCAACTAGGTTGACAACCCTTTTGACAAAAAAGTAAATGGAAAAATTCATAAATAAGAATTTAAGTATTACACATTTCAAAATCAAGAAAGCAAGTTTCAAATTTCAAAAATCAGATTTGTATTAAAATTTATTTATGATTTAATTAATTAATTATTTTATTAATTAAATATATTTAGGTCACAGATTTATACTATTTGGTCACAAATTAACGATTTGTTTAGTTGTTTATTACTTTTTGGTCACAAATCTGAAATTCTATATCAAATTATTTTATGGTCACAATTTAAAAAATTTATAGGTTACGGTTTGTTTATCAGTCACAAATAAAAAAATTATAAGTCACGATTTATTTATTCGTCACAAATCAAAAATATTATAAATCACAACTTATTATACAGTCACAAATTATCGATCACAGATTAACAAATTTTTATATCACACATTATTTTTTGTTCACAAATTATCTTTTTAATTGGTCATAGATTAATCAATTTAATAATCACAATCAATCAAATCATTTGTAACGACCACCTCACCACTGTCATCAGCCACAAATATTATATCTTGACCACAAATCGTAAATTTTACAAGTCACAACTTATTTTATGATCACAAAATATTAAATTAATTGGTCAAAATTATTTCTCGATCACAACTTAATAAAATCTGAATCACGATCATATTATTTCTTTGACAAGGATTAATCAATTATTTGTCACAATCAACCAAATAATTGGCATAAAACACCCAGCACCACCATATCCCATCCCACCTACTATCACAACCTTTGCACCACCACCTTGACAACTACCACCACCGTTATATTCATCACCACCAACATCATGAGATCCACTAGTAACATCCCACCTACTACCACAATCTCTGTACCATCGCCACGAAGGCTACCACCATCAGCACGAGATCTAACAACACAATCATTATTAAAATACCCCCAACCTCACCAAACCATGAATTTTGTTTATTTTAATTTTTTGCTGAAAACTTAATTTTCTATTCCAAAAAGTCCAAATCCTAAAAATTTATATCCACATCACATGGTCCATATTCATTATTTAGTCCATAAATATATCATATAATCCACCGATTTCTTCCCAAAGTGCAAATATCGAACATGAACAGCAAACAACCGATTTTTCCTTTTTGTTTATGATACGTTGTTCGAAAAAAAAATTTGACCCCACAGTTCGAATGGTCTGGGTCCGCCCCTGCAATAGAACCCAACCAAATTTAGCTTGGTAGCCATCCTTCACGTCCAAAAAATCATCTCAAACTATGCTAGCCACAAGCAACAAATCGCAAACCATGGTCAATGTTGGTACACAAATCGATACAAAATCACAAACAATGATGGCACAACACCTCTACGAGCTACGCGTGACGACCCTTGCATCAACAAATGATGGGAGATATGGGTGCGACTGCAATACCACTTCAATAGAAGAGAGCTACGTCAACGTAGAGATGAGTGGTGGTGCGAGGTTACACTGTGTTGTCTTTCCTCGCTAGATTAGAGAGTGTGTGGCTGCTTCGTAAGTGGCTGTGGTAGGTAGAGATATTGAGAAAAGAGAAGATGGAGAGAGGGAAAATATATGGGAAATGATTTTAAGGGTTTGGAAAGAAATTGAATTGTAGGGTAGGGTGTAAGCTTCGCCTTTTTTCGATTAAACTTAGGTTAAGTGTCACTAGTTGACTTTAAAACATCAATGTAGACTGTTTTTAACTATTTAAGCACTAATTATCCTGTATTAGTGTACTACTTTTGTCCAACCTCTATAAGCATTACCATAAAACATTTAACATTACATGTAATATTGTGGTTGGAGTAATTGTTGAACCAATTATGTCAAACACTGCCAAACAAATTGCCATATTAATTGATAAAAAATAGTACAATAAACATTTGATATGCAATATTTTCCCTCAGTGGATTAGTTAAAGAATAATTTCAGTTTTACTCATTATTTCTCTTAAGGCATAGTGCGCCACACCGAACTAATCCGATGATGGTCACAAGATTGACATAGTTACATATTTTCAAGTCTCTTCACACTAATAACATTGTAGGTTAAATGACAAGGACTTGGGATACTAATGATGTTAGTGATCGGAACTCTATTTGAAAGATAATTGTGAATTCTACTTAAAGTCGACTTAAGAATAATGTTATTTTGGAAATCTATTTGGCAAATTCTAGTTGAAGTTCTATTTGAAAGCCAAATTGGGAGTTGTAATTTGTGTTGGGTTTGAAGAGATATCAAGATATGAATCAGGAAGGGATTTTTAGCGCAAGTATGCTCGCCTCAATTGAAACTCAAGTATCCAAAGCAATTAAGTTGGTGCCCGTCTGGCATCAACTGGACACATGAGCGGCGGGGCGACACCCGCTTGGCACTAGAGCACATGTTCATCTGGCCAAGGCCCCGTTTTTGTGTTTTACACACGTTTTCAGCATTCTTTTCCTTCTACAATACCAAGACTAGGGTTACGGACGTCCTTTATTTGTTTCCTATATATATTTAGCTCTTCTCTACAAGTTAGATAGGTTGTTTAACCTAATTACAAGTTAGACAAATTAAAAAACAAAATCATTTTATTCTTTTTCTATGTTTTAGTGAATTCTCATTTTCTCCACAAATATTTTGTTCTTGAGTTTGTGATTAATTATTTCATATTGTGCCATATTTCTTTTCTCACATATTATTACAACAAATTGGTATATGAGAAATCCGATATCTTGTTCATTGTTAATGACAAACGAGCTAAATGGTTATATGATTTGGGTGACGGAATCAAGAATTAAAGAAATTAATGTCGTCAATACACGAAAGTGGAAAACCTCTAAGAAGATATTAGCATTAGCTGACGTTTACATGCAACTTGAAATATCACTCTCACTACAAAAAACGCTAAAAGTTCTTTCATGGTCGTTGGAGCCATTTTGCGACCATATATTTGTGGTCGCTTAATGGTCGTAAATTTGCCGTTGGTAAATTTTTTAGCGGCCAGTATAGATGGTCGTTGTACATGTCATCTCCAACGACCACATATTGGTCGCGATAGGGTTTGATTTTTGGTAGCTAATAAATTGAATAATTTGTTGATTTACTGTCATCAAATGTCTTTTGCGACCAAGAAAGATAGTCCCTGAGTGTTATATATTTAGCGACCAACATGGTCGCAAAAAGGATTATGTTTTGGTCGCTCATAATTGTTAAAAATTTGTTGCTTATACCCTTTCGCGACCACACGTTGGTAGGTAAATATATTAGAACAAAATATTTTCTCACTAACAACAACAAATAATTGGTTGGTGAAGATAATGAAATAGCCACCAACCTATGGTAGGTGAATAGTGCTGACAAATCGTTGGTCGGTAAACATTGATAACTATAGTGACCAATCATTGGTTGGTGAAGGATAACAATTTTTCCTTATTTTTCAATGACCATAATTTTTTGTTGTAGAATAGATATTATCAACCAATATGTGGTTGCTAGACGTATGTATCAATGCTTTTATATTAAATCCTTTTTGTTCCTGCTAATAATTTGTTCAATATTTCAATTTTCAACCATCACAATTACTAATCTAGCAATATTGAAAGCAATAGAATATTAAATTTAACAAATAATATGTCGCAGCAAAAGAAAATTATATTGTGCAGATAACTACTAATAGTTAATGTATAATCGTAAATGTCTAATATTTAACCACGAAAAAGATAAATTGTAACTTCAATAAAATAATCATAGTATTGCAACACCAACTAATGGCGATGGTGGAGGCGATGGAGGTGGATCATTGGTTGGTTCTATAGGAAGATGTCCATTCGTGCAACAAAGCTCTAGATAAGTAACGCTTGTTGTTCGAGACTTTGTGTAAGCTCACTAATAGCTTTATCCTTCTCTTTATCTAGTTTTGTAAGAATTTCCAAATGTTGCATCAATTTAAGGAGAGCTATAACTATGTTGCTGTATGATTTACGTGGAGCAGGTCCAATCCCAAAAATAGTCCCAGCACTCTTACCAAGAACTTGAACATATATTTCTGCTTCATCCATTATAGATGCTTCATCTTCAAGCTCTACTTATGATTGCTGTAACTCTACCATTTCTATCTGTCATACAATAGAAAACGATTGTTAAAATAAATAATAGTAATGTAAAGATATTCGTGTAATAAATTATGTAACTTACATATCAAGACTCGACTAGTTGGTTATCCCATCCTTTTGATGTGAAATGCATCCTCCTAAACAATTCAATATGTCCAACTAATTATTCATTTGTCGACTGAATGGGGTGGAGAAAATGTCATAATAAAGTCGAATTAGCAAATATTTGATTACCTCAACATGTTACCAAAGTAGTAAGAGAATAAAACCTGTCTAGGTTAAAATTCAACCGAACATATCCCACAAAACTATGGCCTTAGTAACTGAAAAACATATCTATCAACATTTCAAGAACATTTAATGATAGTCAAGGGATAGAAAACATGTTAATACTCCTCCTAGAAATCGGCCAACATTATAATGTCACCTCTTTGTTCTATTTTATTTTTATTTTTTTAACTAAATTCATCATTTTCAAAAATCAAGTCTACTTTCTGAATATGTATTCTATGAAGCGCAGTTAGAAGTTAAAATAGTCGAGTAAAATTAAACACGAAATAATTACGTCCGATCAACCAAAAGACAGTTAATTATTCCTATTTCAACTAAAGGAAACAAATTTAAAATATTAGAAGAAGCCTCATACTCAAGCCTAAACTGGGGAAAAAAACACCTAATTCATCATTTAAATCCAAAGGGTTATAATTCTAATATAGTGAGCAATGATAAGTAGACTAGAGATATTTATTAACAACAATTAATAAAACATTTCAGCTTAAGAAAATTGTATGCAATTTAACCAACCAACTTTGATTGCTTAATAAGCCAAACCAATACTCACTCTAGAAGTCAACATGTTTAACAAAAACTAATTATTAAAAGTGCAAGAGATTAAGTCTATTGGATTACCAGTGCTTCCCTAGTTGCAGTAAATGATCTAGTCCCTCCATGGTGATTATAAAGAAGCTTCGAATGATTGAATTTCCTAGCTACAGATCATTTCTTAAAACCAACAACAATATCTTAAAGTGAGTAATTTGGCTTCTCATTCATTCTGCTTTAATTAACAATACTGTAAAGTAGTATAATAACTTAACATACCAAAAACTTATCACTTTCAAAATGTGCACACATCCATTCCCAATCCTCTTGTGATTTAACAATTGATGGCTTACATTGTAGTGGATCTTTTCCATCCAATTTTAACTATTTATATTTTTTATTACATGCACTTATGTGTTCTTTGTATCTCCCGTGACAATGTCTTTCAAAAACCAAATGAAAAAAGCGGGATAAAATTGCGCCGAATATTTTAGCGACCATGACATCGATGGTTGCAAAAGACTAGGATCTGAGACCATTTAGTGATCACTTTTGTGGTGTAGTGTAGCAACCATCGCCTTTGATCGCTAAAACATGCAAAAACCAAATGAAAAGGCGGGATAAAGTTGTGCCAAATATTTTAGCGACCATGACATCGATGGTTGCAGAAGACTGGGATCTGGGACAATTGAGTGGTTGCTTTTGTGATGTAGTGTCAGCAACCATTGCCTTTGATCGCTAAAACATGCAAAAACCAAATGAAAAAAATGGGGATAAAATTGCGTCAAATATCTTAGTGACCAGAAAATCGATGTTTGGGGAAGACTGGGATGTGGGACCATTCAGTGGTCGCTTTTGTGGTGTAGTGTCAGCAACCATCGCCTTTGGTCGCTAAAAGATGCAAAAACCAAATGAAAAACTGGGATAAAATTGTGTCACATATTTTAGCGACCATGACATCGACGGTTGCAGAAGACTAGGAGTTGGGACCATTCAGTGGTCGCTAGAGTGGGTATCATACGCGAAAATTTTTTTGTTCTTTTTCTGCACTACCATTACCAACCAATCAAATGTATGGCCCCTAATTCTCTAAAACGGCGACCATAATTTGGTCACAATAGAACAAAACAAAATTTGTCCAATTTTAATAGACCAAAACCTATACCCACCATTAGTTGGTTGCTGAACATGTTTTATAGCAACCATGTTTTATTGGTTACTAAACCTTTGGTTAGTGGAGCCATTTTTTTTTTTTTTTTTTGGTAGTGTCTCTACGTACCCCTGGTTTGAGCACAAAGGCACGTCTTAAGACTTTCCCTAAACATAGCCAGAAATGTCATGCACAAATCTATCATGAGTCAATTTCTGGCTTTAAAGCATTCCATCTGAGCCTTCTTTGGCATTCATCATTTTACGCAATCACAAATTTTTTTCAAGCCTGTTACATTTTCAAATGTGATCTTCATTAATCACTGAACATATACATAGCAGCATTGGATAATATTGTAGTAAAACAAACAAAATTAACCAACTCAAATTTCAATAATTCAAGCTTACAATACGAAAAATTTCTACATCAACAGGTTAGATTCTTTAGCTCTCATATTTCGAGTATAACTTTTCAAGTTGAGGAAGCAACTCATCAGAGGTATTTTGCAAGTAATAATTATTATGCATAGAAGTGAGCTTAGGTTTTACCTGTAACCCATCTCAATAGAATATTTGTAGCCTCATCTGTTGAATCCTCCACATCAGAATTTCCTGGAAGAATTTTATAAAAAAGAAGCTAAAATTTAGTCGATCAACTACTTACCCAATATGCCACCCATGGTTATGTTGTTAGAACATTCTTTTTAGCATTTTTGAACCTCCTCTCTTCTTCTTCTATTCCCTTTATTTTGACAAGACAATGAAGCGTTTTTTCCTTTTCTACTACATTTTGGATCCACCTGTTTCTTATTATCTCTAGCCCCTCCTCCAGCTGCTGTCAGCATAGGTTTCCATGTATCGAGATGATCAAAATTTTCTTGACTTCTTCAATTGCAGATACCTCATGTTGCTACTCAGAATCATGTTGACCCTTCCTGTTCCAAGATTCAGTTTTATTATCACTCCAATCCTTGAATTGCTCGTTCGTTGTTCAGGAGTTCTTGTTTGAACAGTTCATATCATCCATGGACTTGCATACGGTAAGAATTGAACCAAGACTTCTACACTTTCATCATTTTTCTTGTTAGGCACATATACAGCACTGGAATAAGATATAACTACTTTTATAAGCAAGAAATTCCAAATAATAAAGTGATAATCAAACAAATTAATTATTTTACTATGCATTGAAGAGAGTAAAGAAATAATTGACACACAGGATACAGAATGAACATGGAAGGAATTTATGCAAGTGAAATACTTGTCTACGTCAAAACCATAATGATAGAATGCAGTAATTTGTATTATTCAATTATCATAAACCATATTACAGCTAAACCTGAAACAACAGGTTAGGAAAGCATGATGTGAACCAGCACCCTTCTCTAAAATGAAGACTTGAGTTGGATATGCCTGACATGGAAACTCCCAATAATGTAAATAGTCAATATGAAAATGAAAATTTTGTATTGCTCCATATATTTTCACATCCTTTTTGTCATACCATGAATCTCTTCCATTCATCTTCAGAGAGAAGCAGCACGAACATGAATGGTGACTGGTATTTTATACATTTGAAACAAAAACAAGATGGAATCTGTGCATTACACAATGTGTTGCTATGGTTAAATATTTGCGCTTGTTGGACCTGCAATGGATGAATATCTGTTCTGGCAGCTGCCTTCTTCATTGTAGATTTTGTCTCAAAACACTGATTCAACAGTAAATCTTTTCTGAAGTAGAACTCCAGCCCACCTATAATGAATGTGGCAGATTTAAATATTCACCTAGCTAAAAACCAAAGAACGGGTAATAAATAACAAGTGCTTAAATTCCTTGAGTTGGAGAAATCATCGGGGGCAAGAAAAATTAACGAGTAAGTCTAAGTGCATCAACATAAAATGCAGCCTCTTAAAATACTGTCGTGTGTGGATGTGACAGATAAATTATGTGAATGTTTTCAGAATGCTCACCAACCTTGGGATAAATAATCTCCATGCGGATTTGCAGCTTCAAATGCTACACTGATGGTTCCTTTGTCGCTCACCATCTTCATACATTCTAGAACATACTGTCCATAGGTTGAAGTTCAACCTAAGAAAAGACGAAGATCATTATTCAAAGTACATCGTCAAAGGCAATACTGATGGCCTCTTCCTTGACGCTCTTGAGGTAGAAGGTCATTCTTTGCTTTCTTGTGCAACATTTATTTTAAAGTGCTGCAACTTCTTCATCCTTCCTATGACATTTACAATGAGCACAACATGGACAATGAAGGACTGAATGCCAAGGAACAGATATGCATCTATTCAGCAACAGTAAGAGCTAAATTTGTCAATGTCCTGTTCCATTACTGAACTGCTGCCTCGATAATTACTCAAAATAAGGAACAAAAAGTATTTTATTGAAGATGATTGAGCTATATACCTATCAAGGTTTTTCTTAGCTATACCTATGAAGGTTGTTATTTATTGTTGACGAAAAGTAAATATAGCACTTAGAAAATGATAGGATGTTACTAGCCCATCTGAAAGTACAAGGTAATTAATCCTTTTTCTTAGGGTTAGGAGGGGAAAGAGGAGGGCGAGTGCCATAAGTAGCACGAATGAAACCACAAAAACAACTAAATAAAATTTCAGGATCTCCAAGTAAAGGAGAGGTCAAGTCAAAAAACTAGAATTAAAAAAATAGGATGTGCAAACTGCAAAGAATTTCAAACAAGAGCAACCAATCCAAACAATGAGTTCGTCGTACATAAAATATTAATCATCACAATGATTTTCAATGTTAAAATATGCTGTTGAAATACAAAATATAGAATCTATCCTTCGTTAGTGTTATGATAAAAGGACTTCAACTGGTTCAATACTTGATTTCAGTTGGGTTTATGGGGTATTGTAAGTGGAGAAACAGGACAGCAACTTTATAATTTATTTATTTGGGAAAAAAAATTGATAATGAAAAAAAGTAACCTTGAGATATTTAAAATGCATCACTCGCCGAATAGTAAAAATCACCCATCAGAATATTGTCAAATCTAAACACTCAATTTGAATCAGAATATAGAGCACCAATAAAATACTTATGTTCATACCCCAAACAAGATAATGCATCAGTAAGGAATTTTAAAAAATTCGAAAATGGGAGGGGATATAAATATATCCACTCACTTCTAGAGACTGAGTACCAGAAAATTGTTGAATCTGAGTATTGACATTGCATCCAAATATGGAGTAGAAGGGGAGATTAACAAAGAATGCCACATTTTATAGAACGAGAAGAAACGCTGAAGCGCAAATAAAACTGAGAGGAGCTCAAACCAACTATATAAATTATGTTCGTCAAATGTAGCTGTTGTACATGAAAGGACAATGGTATGAGCAGACTAAATTTTCTACCTTACATATGCGCTAAATCTATAGAAAGTTCCCTCTGCTAACTATTTCTTTTTCAATGCTGCTTAATTGGCCAGGAGCCCACGATAAATACAATGGGAGAAAATTTTGGTTTATGTATCTACTGAGGGTGTGATTAGAATAAGGAATTCACTACTCTGAGTACTGATTAAAGAAATATTGTATGTCAAAACTTAGACAAAATTATGGGTTGGGTATTCGTGCTCATATCCATTATAATCATAATATAGCCTCTCTCCCTTTGTGATGTCACGAGTTGCAACCAATAGTACACGGCATTCGCCATTAACGCAGTATCTCACACATTTAACGTTCTGCTTCTTCCGGCCCTCCCTGCACAGAATTGACTGGTTTCAAGAACTATAGGTGAATATTGGAAATGACATGAATAAGAGAGAATTCTGCATTTAGATTATGTCGAATGTCATGCTATAAGCAGAAAATCAGGGAAAGATACATGGTTCAAGGAGACAAAGGATGTGGCTCAATGGCTTACGGTGTATAATTATTTATGCCATTAATAAAACGAGCAATGTTTCCACGTTTATCAGGGCAGACAACAAGACTTTTCGATGGGTCAGTAGCTAGAAGAAGGGTCATCATGCTATCACAATCATCCTGTTCCCGATTCTTAATGTAATCCACGTCTCCTGTATACTCTGCAATGAATGTCATGTCCTTTATTGGACCATCTGCTTCTACTGTATAGCTGCAACATTCAACAAGGTCACATTGCATGTGAATATATATCACGCAAGGGCTATTGAATGAGAGAAAAGAGGAATAAAGAAGTACCCTTCACAAGAATCAAAAGTTACAATAAGAGGAGGGCATTCGCCTCTTTTGTACATACTTCTACACAACTCCAATGTCTCAGTATCTTCTTTAGAAAGAACCTAATTAAAAGAAACCTTGTGAAAATTCAAAAATTTTAGAATTAGCTGATTAATCAGAGAAAAGTAATTAAACCTGCATTCCACCATTTTCAAACTCAGCCTGATTGGCTGATCTGGGAGCCATGCCTGGCATGTAAGTAAGCTCATTGCTGAATTCCATGTTGTGAGCAGTCAATGCAGATGCAAGAGATCCCATTTGTACTAGCCTTCGGGTGGGGTCTTCAGAAGGAACATGAGGCAATATCCTTCTCCGTTTCTTGTGGAAAACTAATGTATTAGACCTTCTGCGACGTTTTTTGACATCTGGATTCAAGGTCAAAAAACTTTTATTGGATGTGTAGAACACGTACAAGAAGAACAGTGCAAAGAACTTGTTAATGCATGGACAATATGTATTTAATAACAAACTTCTATTGGATACATATAGAAGATGCAAAAATGCTCCAAAATCTCAGTTCACACTCTTAGCTGCTTTATTGAAAAAGCTTTACATAAACGATAGGCAAACTTATCACTAAGTCTTTAAATTAAACCATCCAAAAGATACTTCAGATAACTAAAAGAAAAACCAAAGGACTTCTGTATTATACTCTTTGCCATGGGTTCGATAGACTTCATAAATATCAGCAAATTTCGGTAACTTGCAGTGCAGACACTTCCAAATGCAGGATGTGTTTTCGTCCAACATGTGCTAGCAGGCATGAAATGATAGCCTATGATCTTGCTAACACACATCAATGAAGTTTCCTTTTCCACAAAATATAACCAATCCATGAAGAAGTAAATGTCAAATTTAGATGATATTATTGACATGGGCGGAAAAACTTCAGTAAATTTAATCTTTTTTTACCAGTGTATTAGCTGCCTTCATTCCAGTGCTTGCTAGGTTACATTGTGGTACAAAGTTGTAACGATAAGGAACATAACTTATGGCTAGAAGAATGCATTTATTAATTGTAATGATGCATTCTAATTTCATTAGAAATCTGAATCTCGGCCCAAGAAAACTGCATTTTTTGCTTATAGTAATGCATTTTAGTTGTATTTTCATTACAATTTCAGGATTAAGCTAATTGAACAGATCAGGTTATTTCCAAATATTCACACCAAACTTAAAGCATAATACTGATCCCCCTCCACCCCAACACACAGACAGAAGATTTTAATATAACATAACTCAGAAAATTCCTGACCAAAACTTAAATAATTCTCATGATAAAATGGTTACAATAATTCTACCTTGAGACCACGCGCAGTTCTCCACCAGTTCCCTGCATTTCTGAATCCTAAAGAAATCGATAATCTTCTTCTGTGTAAAGCCTGCATAACAGACCACGCCGGATATCTAAATCAATAATACCTGCATTTATCTCTCACCATCGTAACTACACCCACAAACTGAGAATTTCGCATACATTTGCACATAGATACTCGTATGCATACAAATACAATCAGTCAATTGCAAACACACACACAAATTCGTGCATAATTATATACACATAAATTTTTATCCACAGCCGGTATTCATTTATGTAGATAAAGATTGGACTTTTTATACTTTTAAGGGGACGATCTTGATCGTCAGAGCATTCCGGGCAGAACCAAGGCCCGATAGGGACGCGGACCACGATGGGTCGAAGACAGAGCATATGATACCCTTTATCGCATTTGTCACAAAGCAAGAGCTCCTCGGCTCGCTCTCCCGAGCCGCATTGATCGCAAGCCACACGAGTGTAATAATCGCCGTCATCAGACTCCTCATTCTCCACCAATACCACCCGCTTCGCCACCTTCATGATCTCTTTCATCGACCTGTACTTTTGCCTCTTCCGGTCAGCTCCGAGCTGCGGGCTTGGCTGGTTTCCCTGAGCCGCCGAGCTGAATGACGGCGCCATTTGAGAGGACAAAATTGGATATAATTAATGTTCTAAGGGTGAATTTGGAATGAAAATTAAGCCTCCGTGGATATATATTTCTTTATCTGTAAACAGTGAGGTTTCAGGGAAGGGAAGGGGTTGGGGTGGGTGGAGGTCGCGGGGGAATAGGAGGTGGCGTTTGGGTGACGTGGCAGATTGTGAGTGGGAATACTAACGTGCACTGGCTGTGCGTAGACAAGGTGGCGTGTGCTTTATTCGAAATTTTCGCTAATTTAGCCGTTTGGAATTGAAAGTTGAAACACTTCTTGCATCTCTATGTTATTTTGGTAAT